GGTGTGGCCGCCCACACTGCGCTTGCAATTTTCTGGCTACTACTGAAGTGGCTCAGGCCCCCCCCCCCCCCCCAGGTCCTGGGAGTTAAATGGACGCGGCCTGCCACCTGGTGGCCGCAAGGAGAATACATAGCCTCCAGTCGGAGCGAGGCGTGGGTCGGCCTCCTTACTGGCTCAGTCACTCGATGAGAAACGGGACGTGTGGCAAGTCCCACCAGACCCCTCGGGACCGCGAGCACACTCCAGGCCGGTAGGGTGGCTCACCCTGGAGCCCCGGACACTCAGCTTGGAAACTTCACACACACACACACCTGCATCAAATAAAAGCACTTCCAAACTCAAGGTGTTATTCTAAGATTACGCAGTTATTTTATTTCCTTGGCCTGGCTGCATTGACTTCATTATACAAGAACTCACAGCTGACAAAAGCAATCCCCCACAGGAAGGATCTTTCCTTAGCAGAGATGGACTGAAATGTAATGTCTGAGTGCAATTCCTGCTCCTCACCCCCACGGCGAAAAGAAACCAGACGGGAAGAAAGAAAAAAAAGGGTCAGGCCTACACTGCAGTCCTGAGCAGGAGGCGGCCCTCTGCGGCTCGGCTGCGGGAGGGAGGGAGGATGGGGAAGGGGCGCGACCCTGCGTGATTGACAGGTGGAAGGAAGCTCCTGCCCTCAGACCCGCCCCCTCACTGCCCACGGCCTCCTGAAACTCCAGGGAATGAGCGGGGTGAAGGGTCCCCTCCAGCCTCGGGGGGCTGCTCCATCCAGAAGCATCTTCACGCCTGAGCCCGGGTTCCCAAGAGCAAGGGAGCTCCATCTAGACATCCAGGACGCTGCATCCCATCACGAGGGGTGGGGTGGGGTAGAGAGACACTTTGGGGACCAGCCGGAAGGCTTCATGTGCAGTGGACGGGTGTGAAGTCAAACCCACGCCCAGCAGAAGGGAAGCAGGGCGGTTTGTCCTCGGCTTAACTCCCCTGGGCTCTATCCTCCTTCCCCCAACTCTGAAGGGGGAAGAGAGGGACCACACAGACACACACACGCACAGACAGACACACACGCACGCACACGCATGCGCACACACACACATGCACGCACACGCACACACACGCATGCACGCACACGCACACACGCGCGCGCACACACACACACACACACACACACACGCACGCACAGACACACACGGATTCTCAGCCATCACCCTGACCTCCGTGAACAGCAACCCACCGCTCTGTCCGCACATGCTGCTGAGGAGGCAGCAAAAGAAGAAGGAAAGGGATCACAGAAGCACGGGGAAACCAGGCTGGGTGTGCGCGCAGTGTAGTGGTGTCGTGTCCCCGGCTGGCCTCCTCCGCGGGGCCTCCTCCGCGGGGCCTCCCTCTCCCGCCCGCCCGCCCGCCCCGCTGGCTGGCCGTCCACCGTCATTTCCCATAGACGCTCTCGTCGCTGTAGGCCACGTACAGGAAGTAGTCCTCCTCATGGTTGTCCTGGGGGGAAGAGAGCGTTCACGGTCACTCTTCTCTTCCATTTCTTTTGGGGCCAGCCTGGGGCTCGAACCCAGGGCCGAGGCACTACTGTCCCTGAGCTTCCGGGCTCCAAGTCAGCACTCTCCCACTTGAGCCACCATCTGTGATCCTCAACTCTCAGCCTCTTCCTGGGTAGCTGGGGATTACAGGCATGAGCCGCCACGCCCAGCCTCACGTCTTCAGAGTACTTTATAGACAATACAGTTTGACCCTGACTAATTGCAGGGTGAGAAGAGGTTAGCTTTACTATACTGGTAGCCTCCTCAGTCTATGAAATGGGGGTAGAGTGCCAGCCTTCAGCAAGAGCTGAGGGACAGCGCCCAGACCCTGAGTTCAAGCCCTAGGACACCACAAATAAATAGTTTAAATGTTCCCAACAGTAATAAGAGTGTATACAGGCGATGCTCTGTAATTTACTGCGGTCACGAACCATCCTGCCATTTCAATAAATGCCAACCTAGCAGCCAAGCGCTCGCAGAGCAAGAGGAAGAGATTTCCCTAGGATTCAATATCCTGGGGTGGGGGAGAGGGGGGAGAGAGGAAGGTTGCATTCTTCTAGAACAAGAGGCTTGATTGACCCCCCAGGGCCTCACCTGGTCACGGGATCCAGATACCCAAACCTGTGCCCTCTTTCCAAGGTCAAGTTTATCAACAGAGCCAGCGGGCACGGGTGCTGGCGCTGGGCCCCGAGCCCTTACCTCATACAGCTGGCCCATGGTGGCACTGGTGGGGGGGATCGTGTTGTTGACAAAGAAAAATAAGGCGTCCTCCGGGCGCAGGTGGATCCTCTTCCGGATCAAGAAGTAGAACTGGCCGACTGGACAGGAAGCAGCACGGGCCGGAGGAGGAGAGAGCGAGGGATCAGCGCAGGGCGCTTCCAGAACACAGTTCCATCCTGTCCCTCCCCTTTCGGACATGCATGTCCCAGCTTGCTTTGCGTGGTGTCAATCTGGGGCCTGAGCTCAGGGCCTGGGCGCTGTCCCTGAGCTCTTTCTGCTCAAGGCTAAATGCGCTATCACCTTGAGCCACAGCTCCACTTCTGGTTTTCTGGTGGCTCATTGGAGATCAGAGTCTCCTGGGCCTTTCTTCCCTGGGCTGGCTTTGAACCAGGATCCTCAGATCTTAGCCTCCTGAGTAGCTGGGATGACAGGCGGGAGCCACAGTGCCCAGCGAAAGCTGATTTTTGAAAACTAAGTGAGATAAGGTGATAAGAAAGCAACACTTAGAATGGAGCAGCGATGTATCGTTTTTTTGGGTCAGCTGGCTCTGGGCAGCTCCCACCCACTTCGAGAAGCGCGCCGCTGTGCAGCAAGCCTTACCAGTGAGGTCGGAGGGCACCAGGTACTTCCTCTTGTCCAGATCAGGCACGCGGGCTTTGGGAGCCTTCTCCACGATGACCTGGGGGGACAGGACAGCAAAGCCAAAAGCTCAGGCGGGCATGGGGACTCATGCCTGTAATCCCACCTACTCAGAAGCTCGCGCTCTGAAACCAGCCTGGGAAGGAAAGGTCAGGAGACCATCTCAAATGAACCAGCAGAATGCGAAAAGTGGAGCTCTGGCGTCAGAGCAAAGGCTCTGAGTTCAAGCCCCAGGAGTACCAGCACGCAACAAAACTTATTGCCTCATTCTTCCTCTTAAAACCTATATTCAAGGCTTTTTAACAACTTGTGATTTAGATCTTTACTTCTTTCATTGGTATATTGTTTCGATACTGGGGCTGGAACTCAAGGCTCAAGCTCAAAGCTGATGCTCTACCTATTGAGCCACACCTCCACTTCTGGCTTTTTGGTAGTTTAGTGGAGATTAGAGTTTCACAACCCTCCAACATGAGCCTCCTGAGTAGCTAGAATGACAGGTAGAAGCCAGTGCCTGGCTGGTAATGAACATCTTTTAAAGTAGTTCCTTTCAACTTATACAACCACTTTGGAAAGCAGTCTGGAGGGGCCTTAGAAAGCTAAAGATTGACCTCCCTTACGACCCAGTCACACCACTTCTAGGCATCTACCCTGAACAACAGGAACCAATATACAAGGACAGGTGCACCTCCATGTTTATTGCAGCACTGTTCACAATAGCTAGGATATGGAAACAACCCAGATGCCCCACCACAGATGAATGGGTCCAAAAATTGTGGTATCTAAACACAATAGAATATTATGCAGCCATTAGAAATGACAAAATAATGGCATTTGCAGGGAAATGGTTGGAGCTAGAAGGAATCATGTTGAGCAAGGTAAGCCAAGAGCAAAGAGACAAACGGTACATGGTCTCCCTGATAAGTGGATGCTAAATCCAAAATGTTAGGTGATACGACAAAACTAACAGGACTTAAGAAACAAAGAACTCCCAGTCATCTGGTTGAACCACTACTAAATATCCCCACGCTGCTGATCACATGTACGGTGTATAACATGTGAACACCGTTATATGTTATAGACCGTGATAGACAATTTGCTCCAGGAAAGTTAGAAATGTGCTCATTATCTTGCCCATGTAATTGTAACCCCTCTGTACATTATTTTCACAGTAAATATATATTAAAAAAAAAAGTAGTTCCTTTCAACTTGAACTTCTAAAAGTGATCCCTTTCTGTTTTTTTTTTGGCTGTTGTTTTCCATGGCTAATATTTCAAATCCCCTGAACTTCACCTGTTAAACTTGGGCTTCAGGGATAACCAGAGTTGGGTTTATAGATTGTAACTGGACTGCAACTTCTGTGAGCACCTCACCTCAGGGCAGGGAAGATTACTGGTCCTGCCTGAGGGCAAAGAGAAACTTCTAGAAAAACTGCTCTAAACATAAACCTTAGGGCTTAGGGTTTAAGGCCCCTGGTTTCACCACACACAAACACACACTCCCAAAACAAAAACAAAAGTCTCAATCCTTAGGGAGCCCAAAGGCAGGCTTCAGGAGGGTAAAACCCCTCCAGCCCATTTCTTCCAAGAAGTTAAGGGTGGTTTGTGTCAGTACCTGGGCTTGAACCAAACCCTGGGTACTTTCTTAAACCACACCTTCACTTCTAGCTTGGTGGTACCTCCCTGGTGATGAGGCTCTGGGATTTTGTCTTAGCTGGCATCAAACTGCCATGCTCAGATCTCAGCCTCTCGAGTAGCTAGGATGACAGGGGAAGGGATTATAGCTTCTCAGCCTGCGACTGGAGGCTCAAGCCGGTTATTTTAGCTATTTGGAGGCTGAGATCTGAGGCTCACCATTCAAAGCCAGTTGGGAAGAAAAAGTCTGTGAGATTCTTTACCTCCAACTAACCAGCAGAAAGCAGAAAGTAGTGAGTGGCTCAAGTGGCAGAGCGCCAGCCATGAGTGGAAAAAAGCAAGCAAGAAAGGGAGAGCCGGAGGAGTTCAGGTCCTAGTACAGACAAACACCAGTACAAGCGTACAGCTTGTACTCAGGAGGCTGAGGTCTGGAGCCAGCTCGGGTCGGAAAGTCTGGGGGACTCATCTCCAATTATCCACCAGAAACCAAAATCCAAACCCGAAACCTAGAAGTGGCCCCAGGCCGTGGGCAGAGGAGCTCAGGGGAGGGCGCAGGGGTGGGGAGGGGTGGGGAGCTTATCTTGGAGATTAGGCGCAGGCACTAACGGGCCACAGGGAGGGTGGGGAGAGAGAAGCTGGAAAAGGGAGAAGAGCTCAAGTTTGAGGAAACAAAGGAAGAGGAACTGGATACGGGTCCCGTATGTGCAGTTTGTGGGTCAAGCACGGCTTCCAGAACATTCTTGGACGGGGGTCTTCACTGACCCCAGTCCCTCGAGGAGGGCGCGTGGCTGGCGGGCGAGGCCGGCTGAATTCGGGTTCAGACCAACAGCCCCAAGCAGAGGGGATCAGGACAGCCAACGGACGAGCTGGACAGACACGCGCGGGCCGGGCCGAGGTGCACCTGATCCCGGCTACCCCAGCCCCCAACGAGCCCCAGAACAAAACAGACAGACAGACAGCACCCAGAACAAGACAGACAGACAGACAGCACCCAGAACAAGACAGACAGACGGCACCCAGAACAAGACAGACAGACAGCACCCAGAACAAGACAGACAGCACCCAGAACAAGACAGACAGCACCCAGAACAAGACAGACAGACAGACAGCACCCAGAACAAGACAGACAGACGGCACCCAGAACAAGACAGACAGACAGACAGCACCCAGAACAAGACAGACAGACAGACAGCACCCAGAACAAGACAGACAGCACCCAGAACAAGACAGACAGCACCCAGAACAAGACAGACAGCACCCAGAACAAGACAGACAGACAGACAGACAGACAGCACCCAGAACAAGACAGACAGACAGCACCCAGAACAAGACAGACAGACAGACAGCACCCAGAACAAGACAGACAGACAGACAGCACCCAGAACAAGACAGACAGCACCCAGAACAAGACAGACAGCACCCAGAACAAGACAGACAGAACCCAGAACAAGACAGACAGACGGCACCCAGAACAAGACAGACAGCACCCAGAACAAGACAGACAGCACCCAGAACAAGACAGACAGACAGACAGCACCCAGAACAAGACAGACAGACGGCACCCAGAACAAGACAGACAGACAGACAGCACCCAGAACAAGACAGACAGACAGACAGACAGCACCCAGAACAAGACAGACAGCACCCAGAACAAGACAGACAGCACCCAGAACAAGACAGACAGACAGACAGACAGACAGCACCCAGAACAAGACAGACAGACAGCACCCAGAACAAGACAGACAGACAGACAGCACCCAGAACAAGACAGACAGACAGACAGCACCCAGAACAAGACAGACAGCACCCAGAACAAGACAGACAGCACCCAGAACAAGACAGACAGAACCCAGAACAAGACAGACAGACGGCACCCAGAACAAGACAGACAGACAGCACCCAAAACAAGACAGACAGACAGACAGACAGCACCCAAAACAAGACAGACAGACAGTCAGATGGCACCCAGAACACGACAGACGGCCGGGGACGGAATCCCAGCTCTGCCCGGGCCGGCTGGCCGGGCCTCGCGCCTCGTCCGCCGCCTGGCGGTGCGGGGTGCGGGGTGCGCATGCGCGGTGCGCGGTGCGGTGCGCGTGCGCGGGGTGACGGCGCGTGCGGGGCGCCGGCCGCTCCCCCGCGGTCCCAGCCGAGCCTCCCGGTCCCGACCGTCAGCGCGGCCCGGCGTGGCGCGGAGCTCGGAGGCGGAGGGTGCCGAGTGCGGCCCGGGCCGGCTCCGAGGCCCCCGGCGCTGTCCGTCCGTCCGTCCGTCCCCGGCCCTCCCCTCTGCCTTCCAGGGGAGCCGCGCAGGCGGGGGGGGGGGGGGAATGCCCGGATGCTCTGCCCCCCCCCCCCCCGGCCGGGTCGGCTCGCGGCGGCGTCCGCAGGGGAGGGCCCGGCCGGGTCGGCGGCGCTGCGGGCGGAGCGCGGGCCCGGCCCCCCCCCCCGCCCCCGGACGCCCCGAGAGCGCCGCGGCCCCCTGCGAGGCGCAGGACGCCGTCCACGGCGCCGCGCACGCGCACACGGGCACGCGCGCGCCCGGCCCCGTCCCGCTGAGTCACGCCCGGCCCCCCGCAGCCTCCGACCCCGGCCCGGATCCCGGCCTCCCCGCAGCCTCCGACCCCGCAGCCTCCGACCCCGCAGCCTCCGACCCCGCAGCCTCCGACCCCGGCCCGGATCCCGGCCCCCCGCAGCCCCCCGCAGCCCCCCGCAGCCCCCCCCCGCGCTCACCGGCACCCGGTCCGGGTACTTCTTGCGGATCTTCTCCCCCTCCTTCTTCCGGTACTCGAAGGGGTGGTCCTCCTTGTACTGGAACTTCATGGCGGGCGCGGGCTCCGGGCGGCGGGCGGCCTCCCGCTCCGGCCCGGCGGACGGACGCGCTCCGAGGGCCCGCGGCCGCGGCACCTCCGGCGGGGCCCGGCTCCGGCTCCGGCTCCGATCCGGGCTCGGGGTCGGGTCGGGGGCCGAGGGAGCGGGGCCGAGGGAGCGGGGCCGAGGGAGCGGGGCCGAGGGAGCGGGGCCGCGTCCCGAGCGCAGCGACACCTCCGCACCCGGCCGGCCGCGCGGGGGTTGTGACGTCGCCAGGCCGCGTCCCCCACAGGCCGCGTCCCGGAGGCCCCGCCCCCGGCAGGCCCCGCCCCCGCCAGCCCAGGCCCCGCCCCGGCAGGCCCCGCCCCCATCAGCCCAGGCCCCGCGTCCGGTAGGCCACGCCCCCTCCGGCCCAGGCCCCGCCCCGGCAGGCCCTGGCCACGCCCCGGCAGGCCCCGGCCCCGCCCCCGGAGGCCCAGGCTACGGCCCCGCCCCCGGCAGGCCCCGCCCCGGAGGCCCAGGCTACGGCCCCGCCCCCGGCAGGCCCCGCCCCGGAGGCCCCGCCCCTCGGAACCGTCCATTCCGCGGGCACGGAGGGGGACAGATACGCGCAGGCCGCTAACGCGCCCCAGCCCCGCGGTGGACTCCGCTGCCGGGAGCGTCACGAAGACGTCCGCCGTCCCCGCCCCTCGGCAGCCCTGGCCGGTCCAGGGCCCCGGTCCAGGCTGCGTCCGGCTGTGTCCGGCTGTGTGTCCAGCTGGGGATGGGGTCATCATCAGAGCTGGGGATGGGGTCATCAGAGCTGGGGATGGGGTCATCATCAGAGCTGGGGATGGGGTCATCAGAGCTGGGGATGGGGTTCATCAGAGCTGGGGATGGGGTCATCATCAGAGCTGGGGATGGGGTCATCAGAGCTGGGGATGGGGTCATCAGAGCTGAGGATGGGGTCATCATCAGAGCTGGGGATGGGGTCATCAGAGCTGGGGATGGGGTTCATCAGAGCTGGGGATGGGGTCATCATCAGAGCTGGGGATGGGGTCATCATCAGAGCTGGGGATGGGGTTCATCAGAGCTGGGGATGGGGTCATCAGAGCTGAGGATGGGGTCATCATCAGAGCTGGGGATGGGGTCATCATCAGAGCTGGGGATGGGGTCATCAGAGCTGGGGATGGGGTCATCATCAGAGCTGGGGATGGGGTCATCATCAGAGCTGGGGATGGGGTCATCAGAGCTGGGGATGGGGTCATCATCAGAGCTGGGGATGGGGTCATCAGAGCTGGGGATGGGGTCATCAGAGCTGGGGATGGGGTCATCATCAGAGCTGGGGATGGGGTCATCATCAGAGCTGGGGATGGGGTCATCAGAGCTGGGGATGGGGTCATCAGAGCTGGGGATGGGTTCATCAGAGCTGGGGATGGGGTCATCATCAGAGCTGGGGATGGGGTCATCAGAGCTGGGGATGGGGTCATCAGAGCTGAGGATGGGGTCATCATCAGAGCTGGGGATGGGGTCATCATCAGAGCTGGGGATGGGGTCATCAGAGCTGGGGATGGGGTCATCAGAGCTGGGGATGGGTTCATCAGAGCTGGGGATGGGGTCATCATCAGAGCTGGGGATGGGGTCATCAGAGCTGGGGATGGGGTCATCAGAGCTGAGGATGGGGTCATCATCAGAGCTGGGGATGGGGTCATCAGAGCTGGGGATGGGGTTCATCAGAGCTGGGGATGGGGTCATCATCAGAGCTGGGGATGGGGTCATCATCAGAGCTGGGGATGGGGTTCATCAGAGCTGGGGATGGGGTCATCAGAGCTGAGGATGGGGTCATCATCAGAGCTGGGGATGGGGTCATCATCAGAGCTGGGGATGGGGTCATCAGAGCTGGGGATGGGGTCATCATCAGAGCTGGGGATGGGGTCATCATCAGAGCTGGGGATGGGGTCATCAGAGCTGGGGATGGGGTCATCATCAGAGCTGGGGATGGGTTCATCATCAGAGCTGGGGATGGGGTCATCAGAGCTGGGGATGGGGTTCATCATCAGAGCTGGGGATGGGGTCATCATCAGAGCTGGGGATGGGGTCATCATCAGAGCTGGGGATGGGGTCATCAGAGCTGGGGATGGGGTCATCAGAGCTGGGGATGGGGTCATCATCAGAGCTGGGGATGGGGTCATCATCAGAGCTGGGGATGGGGTCATCAGAGCTGGGGATGGGGTCATCAGAGCTGGGGATGGGGTCATCATCAGAGCTGGGGATGGGGTCATCATCAGAGCTGGGGATGGGGTCATCATCAGAGCTGGGGATGGGGTCATCATCAGAGCTGGGGATGGGGTCATCAGAGCTGGGGATGGGGTCATCAGAGCTGGGGATGGGGTCATCATCAGAGCTGGGGATGGGGTCATCAGAGCTGGGGATGGGGTCATCAGAGCTGGGGATGGGGTCATCAGAGCTGGGGATGGGTTCATCAGAGCTGGGGATGGGTTCATCAGAGCTGGGGATGGGGTCATCAGAGCTGGGGATGGGGTCATCAGAGCTGGGGATGGGGTCATCATCAGAGCTGGGGATGGGGTCATCAGAGCTGGGGATGGGGTCATCAGAGCTGGGGATGGGGGTCACCTGAGTGGGGAATGGGGTTCACCTGAGCGGGGGGTGGGGTCACCACCAGAGCCTGGTCTCTGGTCGTGGGCATGGCAGTTGCACAGCCTCTGTCCCAGGCTGGAAGCGAGCTCCTCCGCTTTCTGGGCCGGGCCTTGCTAGGATCCCAGGCCGCGGCCCCCACACCCTTAAACACGGCTCAGGAGCCTGATCTGAAGCTCCGGAGCGCTCGCAGACCGACATGGAGGGTGCAGGCCTCAGCTGCGAGGTGTCAGCAGGTGCCTGGCCTCCCCCCACCTCAGGGCTGAGTGGCCGTGAGGGAGGCTGAGCCTGGCTCTGTGGATCCGCGGCCTCCAGGGCGGCGCATCTCCATCCCCAGGACCAGCCGTCCACGGGGGGGGGGGGGGGGACAGCATCTCCATCCCCAGGACCAGCCGTCCACGGGGGGGGCAGCATCTCTATCCCCAGGACCAGCCGTCCACGGGGGGGGGGCAGCATCTCTATCCCCAGGACCAGCCGTCCACGGGGGGGGGGGCAGCATCTCCATCCCCAGGACCAGCCGTCCACTGGGGGGGGGCAGCATCTCCATCCCCAGGACCAGCCGTCCACTGGGGGGGGCAGCATCTCCATCCCCAGGACTAGCCGTCCACGGGGGGGGGCCACATCTCCATCCCCAGGACCAGCCGTCCACTGGGGGGGCAGCATCTCCATCCCCAGGACCAGCCGTCCACTGGGGGGGGGCAGCATCTCCATCCCCAGGACCAGCCGTCCATGGGGGGGGGCAGCATCTCCATCCCAGGACCAGCCGTCCACGGGGGGACAGCATCTCCATCCCCAGGACCAGCCGTCCACGGGGGGGGGCAGCATCTCCATCCCCAGGACCAGCCGTCCACTGGGGGGGGGACAGCATCTCCATCCCCAGGACCAGCCGTCCACTGGGGGGGGCAGCATCTCCATCCCCAGGACCAGCCGTCCACGGGGGGGGGGGGGGCTGCATCTCCATCTCCAGGACCAGCCGTCCACGGGGGGGGGGCAGCATCTCCATCCCCAGGACCAGCCGTCCACGGGGGGGGGGCAGCATCTCCATCCCCAGGACCAGCCGTCCACTGGGGGGGGACAGCATCTCCATCCCCAGGACCAGCCGTCCACTGGGGGGGGGGCAGCATCTCCATCCCCAGGACCAGCCGTCCACTGGGGGCGGCGCATCTCCATCCCCAGGACCAGTCGTCCACGGGGGGGGGTGGGGACAGCATCTCCATCCCCAGGACTAGCCGTCCACGGGGGGACAGCATCTCCATCCCCAGGACCAGCCGTCCACGGGGGGGGGGGGCAGCATCTCCATCCCCAGGACCAGCCGTCCACTGGGGGGGGCAGCATCTCCATCTCCAGGACCAGCTGTCCACTGGGGGGGGGGGCTGCATCTCCATCCCCAGGACCAGCCGTCCACTGGGGGGGGGACAGCATCTCCATCCCCAGGACCAGCCGTCCACGGGGGGACAGCATCTCCATCCCCAGGACCAGCCGTCCACGGGGGGACAGCATCTCCATCCCCAGGACCAGCCGTCCACGGGGGGACAGCATCTCCATCCCCAGGACCAGCTGTCCACTGGGGGGGGGACAGCATCTCCATCCCCAGGACCAGCCGTCCACGGGGGGACAGCATCTCCATCCCCAGGACCAGCCGTCCACGGGGGGACAGCATCTCCATCCCCAGGACCAGCCGTCCACGGGGGGACAGCATCTCCATCCCCAGGACCAGCTGTCCACTGGGGGGGGACAGCATCTCCATCCCCAGGACCAGCCGTCCACGGGGGGGGGGGCAGCATCTCCATCCCCAGGACCAGCCGTCCACGGGGGGGGGGCAGCATCTCCATCCCCAGGACCAGCCGTCCACGGGGGGGGGCAGCATCTCCATCCCCAGGACCAGCCGTCCACGGGGGGGGCAGCATCTCCATCCCCAGGACCAGCCGTCCACGGGGGGGGGGGGGACAGCATCTCCATCCCCAGGACCAGCCGTCCACGGGGGGGGGGCATCTCCATCCCCAGGACCAGCCGTCCACGGGGGGGGGCAGCTTTTCCTTCCCAGGACCAGCCGTCCACGGGGTGGGGGGCACCCACAGGCAGGCTGCAGGAACCCAGCCTCCTGCAGCTCCAGCCCAACCAAAAACAAGTGCTGGGTGTGTCCAGCCTGGAGCTGCCATCCCAGCCTGAGATCCGAGGATTTCGGTTCAAAGCCAGCCCGGGCAGGAAAGACTGGGAGACGCTTATCTCCGATGAACCACTGGAAACTTGGAAGTGGAGCTGTGGCCCGAGTAGTTAAAGTGCCAGATTTGAGTGAAAAAGCCCAGGAACAGCCCAGACGCTGAGTTCAAGTCCCAGGGCTCCAGGGGTAGAGGCCTAGCAAGTGCCAAGATGGGGGAGGGAGAGGAGGGGGCAGGGGGAGGAGGGGGAGGGAAGGAGGAGGGGGAGGAGGAGGGGAAGAGGGGGGCAGGGGGAGGAGGGGGAGAGAGGGAGGAGGGGGCAGGGGGAGGAGGAGGGGGGCAGGGGGAGGAGGAGGGGGCAGGGGGAGGAGGAGGGGGAGGAG